CGACGCTCCTACTGCAAGAGAGCATCACGACGCTGCTGGGTAAGCGGCCGTCGGCGGAGGACGAGAGCCCGGGGGGCGAGCGCCCCCACCGGGCGGGGAAGCGGGCGCGGCCGCCGTTGCGAACCAAGGTGCGTTCGCCGTGCGTCTGCGTTCAGGGAGGCGCTGCTGACGCGCGGTGCAGTCGATGACGGCGCTGGACTCGCCGAGGGCGGAGGACCGCGGCGACGTGCTGCCAGTGTACGTCCCGCCCGGCGAGGGGAACTTCGGCCTGGGCGAGGGCGATGCGCCGTCCGTGCGGTCCGTCGGGGACGAGAGCATGCGGGTGACGTATGAAGACCCGCGGCAGGCGGCGGAGCGGAGCCGGCTGATGAAGCTGCTTGCGAGCCAGAGGGGGGAGATCTGGGAGGTGGATGAGCCGGAGGCGAAGAAGTCCGCGAGGGGAAGAGGTCCTGCGCGCAGAAGGGGCTCGCGCGTGCCGGGTTTCTAGGATACGGTTTGCGCGCATGGGATATAGATGGACGTCGCTTTTGATCTGTAGGGCGGGTATATTTTTTTAATTTAACGTGCCAGTGGCGAGGACGCTTCGCCGGTGTAATTTCCAGCTATGTTTTCAATCATGTACCACTATACGACTTGTAATAATGGCATCCGAGTCTCAGCCACAGGAGTAAACACGCCCTGGTAGAGTTACCGCCATCCACCGACGAAATCCGGACCGAAAGCTCTCTTCGTGCGCACCACTTCAATAGATGACATTCCCTGCACATGGGCCACAAGCACCGGGACCCTAGTTCGCGCGGCCACTCGGCCGTCCATACGTCCACAGCGCACGGGAACCTCCACACCGCGGCACGCAGAGCTATGGCTTGCCCGCACCGACACTGACACTGACACTGACTTGTTGCAAGTAATGTGTAATGTGATCAGCGCCGTGGCCCGCGCCACGCCCTACAAATACCAGCGCGAGCTGAGCGGCACACTACACCCCATCCCCCCGCGCAGCCAGCACGATGGTACCCCTGTGCGCCCCTCATGCATCCCAAGCCCCTTCCTGGTTCGATATATGGATTTCAGCCATCTGTAGACCCGCGGCACCGCGAGTTCCTCATTTCTGCTGTGCGCCCGTCTGCGAGGGTTAATGCAAATACAGGCGCCGCGTTCTAGGGGGTGAGCTAGAGCAGGGAGACACGCGGTGCAAATCTACCCTAGACGTGCGGGAGGTTGCAAGACGATGAAACCACACACCTACAAACCTAGGTCTGGTTTGAGGTGAGTGCGCCGCTCCGTAGCCTAGTGCGCTCGGTTTTCATGGAGGACAGGCAGGTGGTGGTCAGCAGACTGGAGAAGGCAGCGGAAGAGACGCGACACATTGTTTATGCAAAGAGCCATCCCTTAGTAATGTCTCTATATGCCGCAGAGGCGGTGCACGTTCGTCTCGCTGCTCTAGCTATGGTGGGCTGAAGTAAGGTTATAACAGGTATCCGACTTTGAGTACGTCGGTAAGGCGTTTGTGGCGATCTGCAGAGAGATTATGAAGACGATACCGGAAGGGAAAGCATGAGAGAAGACGTGGGAATCGTACATTAGAATTGGTTTACGGTATACTTAAACTGCCATCTATATTGCGAAGGACGTGCATGGACCGATGCGAGGAGGAGAATTTCAGTCGGACGAATGCTGCGCCAGACGGTGGAACTTAACACCCCATTTCGGCTCGTGTTTCCTCGAAGTGATGCGTGTGCTTTCCGAGATCCCGAATACTGATAACCTTCTGCTGATGCACTGCCAGTCGAATCAGCGCTGACATTTCGTCCGACACGACGTTCTGCGCTTTGAACGTGTCTTTGCATATAGACCAGCACGCACTAGTGCACTTTGCAAACTGCCGATAGCTATCTGAAATGACTTTCTGAATTACACTCCGCAGACTTGTCTTCCGCAAAGTTATTCAATAGCGATCTTTTCGATGTAACGCGCGCGTTCAGTGAATGGGATCTCATTGTGCTCGTTCCCGCTTGGACAGCCGGCTCACGCGTCGCACTCACTCGACTGAACCGTGTTTCCCTTTGTAACACATACACCGTCGTTGACTATGAGAACGAGACCAAGCCCATGCTGGGCCAGGACACCATCATAGTGGTGATCGACATAGTCCTCGTCTCCCACTCAAGGATCAAGATGGGACGTGTATGCATAAACGCAGACAGCCAGCGCTGAATGGTAGCGTATATGCGCGGAGGAAACCCAAAGGAGCGATTAGAGAAATAGACATTTGCGTACTCGAGAGAAAGGATAAGACTTTAAGGATGGGGATAATCCGGCGACCGAGTCTTCGTGGCTGAGAATATTGAATCGGTCTAGGCGGTTGCAATGTGTGGCAGCGCACGAATTCGAAGGGGCATAGAGGATGAAGTGATGCATTCATCCATCTATCTCCCTAAGCGGCCTGCCAAGTGGGCACTCGGCGCCTAGTTTCCAGATCTCGGCTGGGCTGTACTGGCCCGACTCAGAACGGCTAGTGTGAACTGACCATGACAGGGGCGAGGTAGGATACTACAGCTAATTCAGACACTTCCGTTTTGCTGATGCACTCACTGCCAGTGTAGACCATCGCAACGCTGTGAACAGTGTAACAGCGCACGTCGTGGACACCTTTGGTCGAATTCATTAGAGTCATTCATGAAGTCCTCGGGCATCATGGCCAAGCAAAATCCAGGTTGAAATCCAACCCAAATCTGCACCGGAATCACTGACTCCAGGATGCGCATCATATTGCCTCCTAAAAAATTCGATTCAAGTCACTGACAGCATCGACTTTGCGGGGTGGACACCGCCGTATCTTGACACTCTGATTCTCAGCATGGTCGGGCGCCCCACTCGCTGCGTCGTAAGACACAAACATATCTTTCATCTTTAGTCCTGTCAGAAATGAGATGGCGTTGTTACTGGTATTGCATACAGTTCCTCGGCTTTGGATGCATCTTAAAGGGGGGGGAGCCTGAGGAGGATATCCTTTAGCAAGACTCGCTGTGCTGAGCCTTACTCCCGGAGCCATTCTAAATCCTACTCTCAAGTGCTACATCTCACGTTCTCTCACGTTCGCAAAGTCAGTCCTGTTTCAAGATGTCACTCATCGGCCCACCATCTATTGAAGAGCTCATCGGCGGACTTGCAGTCAGCATAGACATTGCTATCCTGTACGTTCCTACTCCCTCCCTCTTACTTATCCCTGTCTACTCACGACACCTTGATCTCAAGTCTGTACGGGATTGTCACCGCACAAGCATATTTTTATTGGTGGACATCGCAGGAAGATTCGAAATTACTTCGCTCCTTGGTCGCGTCTGTATGGTAAGACCCCTAGACTCATCCGCACAACATCTTCCCCATCATACTGTGTTGTTTCGAAGGTTTCTGGAGACAATGCACACGCTGTTCTGCATCCACATGGCTTATTACTACACGATCATCAGCTTTGGGGACATGAACGGTGTCCGTCAGATAGTTTGGTAAGCCTTGCTCTTGTCTTCTGAGGTCCTGAATTCACGCTTGGCTTTCGCTCTAGGAGTGCCGCGGTGCGTTCAGACACCGTATGATCCTCCATTATTTCGCAATAATAAACCATATTCGGCATTCAGGCTACAGGATTCATAGAGGTCAGTTTACTGTCATAGGATCAGTGTTATTGCATACTACTCAATAATTGACTTCGAGCGCAGGTCCTTATCGTAGGCTGGGTTCAGAGGTGGGGCGTTTCCGTATATCCTGGCAGCGTCTCATACTTTACCCGCTTAGCCATTTTATCTGGCGAACCTGGATGTGTGCGTAACTGTGCACTCTCACATGTACTGATGGTGCTAATACGTGTTCGCAGTGAGTCGAAGATCTGTGGCTCTGATCTCCATACTGGTGAGTCTTTTTTTAAAGGTTGACCGTATTTGAGTTTGAGTATCGCAAAGGCAATCTTGCTCCTCATGCGCATCGGTGTGTTGGATTGTTACTGTCTTGGCCGCGAATCCAATAAGTTCCTTTTCAGCGTTCGGATTTGGTAGGAGTATAATCATAGCGTTCATCACGTTCTGTGTTCTGATTTATATTATGACCTCTATCGCAGCAACAGCGAGCTTCATGTATGTCACTTACCGCTCATTTTCCAACTGTTTACTTGCGCGTTTGGCTTAATTTGAAATAGGTGGGAACTTGATACTTGGGCCGAGTTCACAACATTCGACGGAGCGAGGGTGGGCCGTATAGTCGAATAGTGATATGAGAAAGATTATTGACAGCGGTGTCGTCCTCGTGGCAGATTGCGTGTACATGCGCCCTCGTTTTGTCCGGAGTTCTAGACGCCCTCATCGCTCTCAGCCAGATTTATTATCTTTGGACTAGCCGCACAGGCTACCAGGAGTGAGCTTCTTTAAGATTAGCATCTGAACCACTTTTTTACATTTGTTAGGACAGATAGTTTAGTTCGGAAGTCGATGGCCTACATCATCAACACCGGTGCTTTGACGATGTAAGTCGACTCCGAATCTGCATGTTTTATAATGTGTTGACTCACAGTCCTGAAGGTGTGTTACGATGGCAATTATTGCGACGGTATGAGCCCTAGTCTACGTGATGTGCCTTCTTTGCTTACGCATGCTGTACCTAGTTTTGGGCACCAGCCTTGAGGAATAGTCTGAACTTTGCTGGATTGGTCGAGATTCAGAGCAAACGTGAGCATTCTTCAGATCTAGCCATTTCCTTCACTGACATGCTGCAAAAGTTTATGCGAACTCCTTAATTGCCTTGTGTGGCGTCTTTCCTGTGACTTGACCTAGATTACTAATGCTTGACCTTCTTCTAGGCTGAACGCACGACAGCGCCATGGCCTCATAGCTGGACGACAGCATTCTTCTAACCTGGTCGAGATCGGGCTTCATACTACCGTGAACCATGGATTATCCGGACTGGTACGCACAGCCTGTTCTATTAGTTCTTGACAAGTACCGTATTATTGACGATATCGGACCAGCAAAACATCGAGATAATTTGCGAAACGATGGAAATTACCGATCATAGTATAGGCAAGAACAACGCAACCGGACAGGACTAGTATGGTGTTCCGGATGCTGCTGTGGTAATTCTGATAATTCCAATCGATCTCGATTTGACATGGATGAGATTTGTTGTGATTGGGGGTAATAAATATTTTAATTCGCATTTGGAAGAGATACTGAATTACCGTCTCTGACACATGACCATCCCCGCAGACGATCATCTAACGCCACTTCAACTTTTAGCAGCCGGTTCAAAAGCACGCAGAACGGCACGGAAGCATGGGAATAACATAGGTTGCGAGCAGAGCTCCCGTCCACAGAGCACTACTACCGCCCTGCCATTGTCGACGACTGCAAGGCAAAAATGAGTACGGTCAAGACGGACAGTTTTGGCGAAGGAACATACGGATGCAGACCGAGCCCCCAACGCCGCCTTCAGCGCAGCAGCCGTGCACGCGGGCGATATGTCTTCGCCGCGCAGCGCGAGGTGGTACACGTCGCGGAGCACCGTGGCGTCGGCGGTCGGCGTGTACACGTTTTGCTCGTCCAAGTAGTCCAAGGGCGGGGTGACCACGACGAGGTCCGCAAACCGCGCGCCGCACTCCCGCAGCCAGTCCAGGCTCGGTACCGGAATCATGCGCCCTGACGCGGCGGTCGCCGTGAGCTGGAACACGGTCGCGTGGCGGGCGCTGCTGTCGTACACGAAGAGGGGCTGCGAGGTGGAGCGCGGAATGTGGAAGCCGTCTCGCAGCGCGCGGTGTTTCGGCGCCGAGCAGCGGTGGCGCGCCAGGGGGGGAACATCATGCGACATGCGCCCTCCAGGAGCGGGGCCACGGCTGCATGCGAGCGGCATGCGAGCACGTAGTACAGCTAGGCAGTGTCGCGCGGCCAGTTCAGCCCCGCTTCGAGCTGCTCGAGCAGGGCGAACAGGAGATGGGGTATCGCGAACCTGACCTCGTGGCGCATCCGGTCGCCGGGGACAGGCGCGATCACATATATGTCGTGCGAGCGTTCGTCCACCACGTTTGCGCTACATGCATTGGCGAGCATCGTGGTGAGCATGTTCTTGTCGACGGCAAGCGACCGGATGAGGTGTGCGATGTCTGGGGCGTGAAGAGATACGTGCGCGGCATACGCATATGCCTGCCGGGCGGATGCTCCGTATTTCTTGCACCAGAGCGTGAGTTGATGCTCCGGGGGCCGTTGATGGGACCATAGATGGGTGTCACAACTATTGAGGCTATGTCAACTTGGACACAGGATAGGATGAAATACCCAATGAAGTGCTCCTTGGTTGACCATACATACATACATCCAAAACGTAATGGCTGGACGTGGTGTCTTGTTCCTCCAGCGTGTGCAATCCCAACGGGGTGACGCTGTTTGGAGGATGAAGGCAGAGTGCGAACAGTATAATTCATAAAGAGTTGAATGCACCCCTTTGGGATGCAGGGTCGAGTCGACAAGGACCCACACAAAGTGGGGGATGTGGGTGCAGAACTCAATGATCTGTTGAGAGAGACGGGGGAAGGGTAGAACAAATACACCTTCGTTGCAGAAGACAAACAGTTCCTCGGAATTCAACTGCAGCATGGACGGCAGCCCGGCAAGGGTGCGGAGCGCCAGGTCGTAGTACAGGAACATGGTCTTCCCTGGCAATGGGATGGAGTGAGCGAGACGAAGGTGAGGAGCGGACACTTGGAGCCTTACCGATACCCGAGTTACCGAGCACAATTGCGGCAAGATACCAGGATGAAAACGGCGGCATGTCCACGAAAGGGTTGTAAAAGCGATTGTTCCTATCGACTTCCATGGCCTCGAGGGGCTCGTCTTGCTGGAGATCACCATGGCACTGGGCAACCGATATGATGTCACGCAGGGCGTTTGGGTACTCATCTCGGACCAAGATCGAGGACATTTCGGTGTTAAGTAACAACGCGGGAATGGAGTCTCTCTCCCAGCACAAGATAGTATGATCATCTTTGGGTGACTTCATGGGACGAAATATGACCTCAGGGGTATGGCAACCCCAAGCAACACTATGAAGGCAGGCAAGGCTGCCTGGGGTATTCGTGTTGTCGGGTGCTATTCGTTGCGCAGCAGAGTGGGCCGACACAGGCATGGCGACAAATTGTGCGACGTTTCAAATGGGTGCACGAAGTAACGACGGGACTTGGAGTCGGTGGCTGCGTGCGCGACCTGCTGAAGTGAGGCAACCGTCGGGCTTGGAGTCGACATCCACTTCCGAGGCGGATTCGGGCTGGAATTTCCACCTTGGTGGAGTCTGAACTCGCGTGGTATCCGCCCTTTTGGTCGACTGCCATACGAATGGACTAGACCAAGTTGTGAACAAGATGTTTAGCCGCTGTAGGGGCACGGGTACCGTGACGGTCAGATATGTAATCCTGATGCCCTCAGCACCAATCGTGATGGGTATGACCCGATCAGCAATAGCCGCCCCAGCCACAACGGACCATTGACGCCACCCAGGCCGTCTCAGTAAGCCCTTGGTGACCTTGCTCATGACCCACAGCCATCGTGCCCCTCGGTGCAGACATAGCATACATCACCGGCTTTGCCTGGGATGAGTCTAGGCTTCTGTGTGCCACATATCTTCTCATCGTCCCTGTGCGCGCTGCAGCTCGCGGCATCACCAGCCCACTTCACATGTTGGTGCATATGAAGTCTGTGTAGTCCCATATGGATGTGGTGAGCAGGTCGAGCGCGTCCGCCCAGATGTACGTCTGCATGGGGAGCAGGGGTAGGATGCATTTTTGCCTCGAAGACGTTGAGGAGGGCGATTTCTATGGTGCTGAGGCCGGCGATGAGAGTATCGCGTATGGTGTGCTCAGCAGGGGCGAGCTCGTACTGGGACACAGAGAAGAGTGCTCTGCTGGTGCTGTATGGGAGCACAGTGTGGTAGCGTGCATTCTGAAACGGATGAGGATGGCAAGGGCGAGAGGGGGGAAGGTCACTTGCTTTGATCTGATAGCGGGTGTGGTCCTAGACGTCGGTGGTGAGTGCTGAGTGGGAGATGGTCAAGTCGGAAAATGGGAGCCACTTGGGGAACACACGCGATCTCCGAGTCTGTGTCACTGTCTCACATGGCCCCTGCACTTTGTGTACAAGAGTATATTACCATGATTGGGCTACATGTACAGATTTACAGGAAGTGACTTGACGAAAATCACAAATAAAATGTATGGATGCAAGCCTACCATTTTCCCCTTCATATCAATTGCTGTGCAAGCGATTGTTATATCTGAGGTGCTGAGTGCAAGATGATACACCTTCCAAAGCAGCATTGCGTGGGTATTTGGGACCCAAACATCTTCCACAGCATCTACCAAAGGGGGTGTCACCACAACAAGATCGATTGACCGTACTCTGCGGTCACACAACCCGTTTAGACCAATAGGTGATATTTCATGCTTGATGGCAACGGTCACCTGAAGAATAGTCGCATGTAGAATTCGAGCGTCATAGATGAATGCGTCGAATGTCGGCTGTGATCTAGACTTAGGAGTGTAGAACCCATCCTGTAGTTCCAGATCATCCTCGTTCGAGAAGTAAAAGCAAGTCAAGGGAGCGAAGCCTTCAGAAGATGGTTTGACCGCAATAGTCACTGTACCAGTAGAAGCACCAAGGCAAAAGTATCTAATTGGGGCAGAAAAGTTGGAGTGCCGATGCGTATTTTGCAGCCTTGTCCGGGACTTGTTTTCTCTCTTCTGCATGGCAGTGACGTGCCACTCGCCACCCTTAGGAAACATTGTAAGAGCCGCCCCCTCCAGGAGAGCACCAGCCGCCGCTCTGGTGGATCGTTCACGAGAGAAGATCTCGTATAGTTCAGATGCTGCATGCTGTGTCTCCTTTTCAAGCTGTTGGAGCATTTGAAACAATATACGTGGCGTAGCTACTCAGACATTGCAGAGCATTCGGTTGTCTGGGGAAGGGGTGACCACAAAGAGGTGGTGGGATACGTCGTCTTCCATGTTCGAGGCATCAACATTGCAAAGCACTCTCATGAATCTATCTTTGTTGAGGGAGCTGATTGCGTTTTTAATGATCATGGCGTACTGGGGCAGGCACGTTGCATAGTGATATGCATGGCGAACGGATGCTCCATACCTCGCATACCAGAGTGTGAGCTGATATTCTGAGGGCCTTTGAAGAGAGTGATCCCATAGATGAGCGTCCCGGCTACAGACTCTGCGTGAGTTTGCTGTTTCTTAGACATGAGATAAAACAAAATACCCAGCAATAAGCTCTCCAAGGGACCATATATCCATCCAAAATCAAACAACTGAAGGGCGCGCCTTTTTTGTCCAATTCAAGCGATCTAAACGAGGTGACGCTGCTTGGAGAATGAAGGCAGAGTTTGAACGACGCAATTCATAAAGAGTTTTGTGCACCTCTTTCAGATGCGGAGTTGAGTCAACAAGGATCCACATAGAATGGGGGAGGTGACGATAGAACTCAACGATCGGTTGACTGCTACGTGGGAAGGGAAGAATAAAAACACCTTCATTGCAGAAAATAAAGAGATCTTCAGGATCCAACTGCAAGACAGTTGGTACCCCAGCAAGTATGCGGAGAACCAAAACGTAGAACAAAAAGATTGTTTTCCCTGGTAGAAAGTTAGGGCAAGCAATTCAAATTCAGAATTTGAAGCCTTATCAATACCTGGGTTACCAAGGATTATTGCCCCAAGATGTGCTGATAGATCGGGCTGTCGCATATATACAAAAGGAATGGTTTGCATCAGTATCCATGGCCTTGATGAACTCATTATACTGAGTGCTATTCTGGCTGCCAAACATTGTGAAGAAGAGAATATTCTGCAGGACCTTGGGATATTCAGCTCACACCATAATTGAGGAAATGGAGATCTTCTCTAACAACCAGGGAATGGTGTCTATACCCCAACAAAGCATGGTTGGACACTCGGGAAGGTCTGCTATCACAGGCTCTGCATCACGTGTAACATGCAAGGGCTGGACGACTACCTCAGGTTGGTCATGTTTCCCCCAGGCAAGTGCATGGAGTTGAGCAAGACTGCCAGGGGATGTTGAATTATCAGGAAGTATGCATAGTGCAGCATTGCAGTCCGACATGGGCTGCATAATGGCAAAGGTTGCAGGTGAGATTTGGATAAAAGAATTCAAACCCAGTGCGTCAGTTTTAGATTAGAAAGTACATGTAAGTACCAACTGACCTGTATCTTGGTCCGCATATGAGAATCGGGAATCATCTCCACCTTCTCTTGTTTTGATGATCCTTCACCTTTGTCTTCATTCAGCTCATCTTTATTCTCAGCGCATTCTGTAAAATCCGAATGAGGTCATGCAAGTAATTGTCCATGTTCAGTGTAGCGACTTACCCATCAATTTTCCTGATTTCAATGGGATTAGCGATAAGCAGAGACATGAGAGTATTGGACTGCAGACCTTTCTTGGGAATCATACCTTCCCATTGCTCCCAGGCAACAGAAGCCACCGCTCTGAACTGTTTTTTGAACTCTTGGACAGCGACAGCAGATGTGAAAAAGCCCTATGGGTTTGAACCTGTCACTGAATTAAGATAGCTGCATCTCAAATCTACTCACCTTCGTCTGTTTCTGCCCGTCCTCACCAACAAGACCCCAGCGCGTGAACAACATACATTTATTTGAGTTTCCAATCGATTTCAGCACCTGAATCACACGAAACCTGTGGGCGGATGTTCAACAGACAATTTTACAGTATCACGGTGCATACAGTCGTATGCTTACTTTTTTGTGTCTTCCTCAACATCTATTTGGTCAAGAGTGACATTCCAAATACCTTCATCAGTGGCAAGAACCTGGTGGGTGTCTTCATGGGGTTCGTCAGTGTGGAGAAATGCTCACGAATATTCCATCTAGTTCTCACCAACACAATCAGAACAAGGGTCAACCAGTGTCAAACCCTTCCTGACGATAGTAAACTAACAAATGTCAATTTGCCGCGGAAATAGAATATTAAAACTCACTGTGTTCGCTGGTATGGTGTCATTTACAGTAGTGGTAACTCTAGTTGCAGTGTCACCTGTCCCCACCTCCTCGTATTCAGGCTCTTCGTCTTCAGACGGATAACGGGCACGCTTCGCCCTCCCCTCACTCGCTGGGGCACTCGCGGCGGACACCTTGGAAAAAAGAGCCTTCACTCTCATACCGAAGCGCGTTGAACGTGGGAGTGGGCTCGAGGCGTCAGATGCATTGACAACTGCGGCTTTCTTCCTGGGAGGCATTTGTAGCTGAGTGAGGAGAAGGGTATAGGTCGAATGTAACCTGAGCGTGAATTTGTGCGACATGAGGATGACGAGACGCCACAATTTAAGTAGCATCAGCGGCTGACACAGAGCAGATGAATGGCATCGGTGGCTGACACGAAGCAAATGAATGGCCATTAGTCCGAGGATCCATTATCTAATCGAGATTGCTACAAAATTGTTAGGTATTCGTTAGAGCGAAATATGATGAATATCTGTGTCATACTGCTATACGTCTGGAACTGAGACTACGCGGTTGCTAGGAATAAGGATAGGCCACTCTAGGGAGCGGCTGTTAAAAACTTGTTGACAAGTCAATGGAGCCAGTAACAGCAACGAGAATTGACCAGCCTGTCTAATTCTGGCTGAATCACGGGAAAGGCTTCTCAAGGGAGTCAGTACTAATCCTTCACCCTTGTAGAGAAATGTCATACACACTCTCAACATCATCACAAATCGCTTTCGAGCCTCGAGCCCACAACCGCGTAGCCTCTAGGTGCCTTCCGCTCCTGCCGCTGCTCCGTTTTCGTCCTGATTGCAGACGCGATAGCATTTTCCACCGGTACCAGCTCCTTGACTCTCAATATTTATCCGGAAATGTCAGGCGAGTGCAGATGGCAGACGGTTTGCATCCTCCTGTGTATCCCCAGCGCAACGAGTGTGTCCTTGATATTTGATGGTAATGAAATGGCGGAGCAGAGTCGGAGAGTGATTCAAAAATGGGTATTTGGCTTACCAACTGCCTTCGGCTTGCGATGTGATCGTAGTAGTGAGACAACGAGCGGATTGCCTGATCCGTGGCCGGTTGGCGGTGCATCTCCTGAGCAAATGCAAGTCGAGCTGTGGATTTATAAACCACATTTTCGGGAGAGCGACAGAAAGGGAGCACCGCAACAGTGGTGGGCCACAAGAGTAGCACGTAACTGCCTGCCCTAACCGTTTCTGGAATTGAAGACCTTGAGCAGCGCATGGACATTAACCGGCTCGTCACGGAGGATGGGGGGCACGTATGTCAAGAAGATAGAGCGCCCGGTGCGAGTGACACACCGTCTGCTACGTAGCAGCAAGAACGAGGAGGTGACAGACAAGATGCGTTATGTCGAGAAGTTCAATAGACATGGCGAAGCGAACATCCGCATCATTTTGGAGGAATGGTTTTGGGACTCACTAGATTTTGGCGGTATGTAAAAGCAAGCATGGGGTTGTGGGATCCGTCAATTAGCTCAAGCGATAGGTACGCAGACTACTTATTCTCCGCTGAGGAAAGGTCGCTGTCTCACATAATGCCCGCACAGGTGCAAATGTCGCCCCTAATGTCTCTCTTCGTTCGACACATCTCCTGTGTCCTTCGGGCACTGGCCCGAAGGTTAAGAAAGCGCGCGGATGGGGCATTCCCGTCGTCGATATGTCGTGGCTGGCTGATATCATTAGGACGGGGTCTATACCGCCGGTGCAGACCCACGATGGAATTCCCGCATCACCCGAGCTGGAGCGCAGGGGCACTGTGGGCGTAGACCCAATCAAAGTCGACCGCATCAAGGTCGACCGCAAGGGCAAGGGTAAAGAGGAAGCAGGCGAACTTTCCGAGACCGACAGCACGAATGATGGGTAGAGCGACGCAGGAGGAGCAAAGCATGCCGAACATGGACCAGCCGTCGACGAATCTCACGACAGCTTCACTATGTTCGAGGAAGGAGTGTCAGATGTTCCTCCATGGCCAATTGACGCTGTTCCACCGGAGGACGGCGCGTGTTTCGGACAGCCGAATGGACTGCTAGCGATGACGCAAAAGTTGCCGGCGGCGATGCCTCACGCTAAATCGCCCTCATCTCGACCATTTCTCAGGACCAATT